CTACTGAATTCAATAAGCAGTTTGAAACTGCAGAGAGAACAAATGCATCATAGGGAAACAGAGTGACGTGGTTTTGCACTTGAAATACTTGCAGGTTGTATAACTATTTCTCGTGTTAATCCAGTGCCATAAAGCTTGACGGAATCCCGCTGTGCCTTCAAAAAACTGGCATCTTCTATAACCTCATTTTCATTATAATTAAAATAATCTTACTACTTTCCTTTACAGTTCAGTGGAATCACTGTTTCAAAGTGATCAGCTTGTCACCTCTTCTTCCCGGTTTAATTTTACATTTGAACTGCAGACATACTTAGAGAACTACATGGATGTAAGGTATTAATGGTTTTCCATTTAGTAAATACTTTAAGCCCCACTTCTCCAAAGTACTGCTCTCAGTGCTCTATTTTCAGAGCATGTGACCATCTGTAAGTGAAAATAAAATCATCGATGTGCATAATATAAGATTTCCAAGTCTTACTTAAGGCGCCGTTGAAGGGATCTTTCTTGATTCTCCTAAGCCTTTCATTGTAACAGCTGGCTCAGATATGAGCTCAGTGAAAGGCAGTAACTTTTCTCTCCTCATCCATTACTCTGTTGTTCGCTATCCTTACTTGGAAGGATTTAGTAACAGTCGTTCTTCCATAGTGTGACCTCCAAAAATTCATGGTCCATTTTCCTCCCTTATAAAAAAAAAAAAGTCAAGGAAATAAGGTGTCATCTGGCTTGAGCGATATTTGCTCTGGCACACACTGCACTCCTCCCGTCTCTGAGGTCTAAATGAGAATTTGTTACACCAGTCTCGGTAATTTCTGCAGGCAGTGGTTGACTTGACCTTTTAATCCAGCTAGCTTTTTCCACTAGAAGACTAAAATCATGGGCTGTAGGAAGGACTGACTTCAGTCAATGGGTCTTGAGGAATTAACGTAAATCATTGCCATTCCAAATTACCAGTGCTCAGATGCATGTAACAGACTGCAAAAAGAGAAGTCACAGCAACAGCCTGTTTACCTTAGAAGAGCAGTCTGGCCAATGGCTGCCTCGTGCCAGTGGACTGCGTTTGGCCGCTGAAAGTTCAGTCACTACAACCTGTGCTGCCCTCTCTCCAAGGCAGAGGCAAGTGTCCAACAGTGCCCGAGCACGGCCAGTCACTGTGGGGTAAGAGGTAATTGTTTCATAATCCATTCGGGACAACGTTTGCTGTGAGCGAAGGACATCGAGGATGTGGTTGAGGCGTCCTTCTGTCATGAACTTCAGTATGGTCTGTCTCTGGCAGGCTAGTATTTGACAGCAGCTTCCTTTGCAGCAAGGATCTTGAGTGAAAAGGAAAACAAAAGGAGATTAAATCAGTGCTCTTTTCTTCCAGAAGTTGCTAGCAAGTTATAGCATGAACACCAGAAATATCAACTCAGTAGAGGAAAGAGAAGGAAGAGTTAGTATATTTGCATTATTTCTTTGAAACTAGTCCAATGTATTTTCATCTTTTGGTCAAAACTTATGAAGATTTCAGAAAATAAGTGTTTCTAATGATTATTAAGTGCTCAGATTGTGTAAGGGAATGAGATTTTCAGGGCTCATGCTGTTGATCTAGCATCTGTATCAAACTCTACGCAAAGAAGCTTGGCTCAGTGTAGATGAGAAAACTTTGTCCTGCAGAAAGTAGAACACACAATAGGTAGTTCAGGGAAGTGGGACTGTTTGAAACATGTATTGTGAAACTGGGAACTTGAATATATGTCAAGAACAAACTAGTAACAAAAGTAATATCCTTGGCAAAATGATGAAGAGCTTTGGGTCCCGTCTCTTTTCACAAACTGATTAGAATACTCAGTACTGACATTAAGGTTTTTCGTGTACAGTGAGTACCATGCACCAAGAGAAAATTAATAACCAAAAGCCATTGTTGCTTTGGGCAACATGCCTGTGTCATTCTGATTGCTGCCACTAGAGTTCTGTGGTGAATTTTTCCTGCATGAACTAATCTGTTGATCTATCCAGAAATTACATCGGCACTCAGAAGTGAATTGAAGTGAGGAAGGATGGCCAGCTAGATGTGAGAACTATCATAGGCCAGCTTGCAATAAGTTACCAGAAAAAACCTCACAAAGCTTCACCTACAGGCAGAGGCAGGCTTCATAAACCAGAGGCTGGG